GAATACACAGAAGAATCATACCAGAAAGATCTGGATGTCCTGGACAACCAACATCCTGGAGAGTGAAATCAAGTGGACCTTAGAAAGCACGGCTAGCTACAAGGCCAGTGGAGGTGATGGCATTCCAGTTGAACTATTTAAAATCTTAAAATATGATGCTGTTAAGCTGCTACACTCAATATGCCAGAAGTTTGGAAAACTTGGCCAGAGGACTGGAAAAGATCAGTCTTACATCCCAATCCCAAAGAAGGGCAGTGCCAAAGAATGCTCCAACTACTGTACAATCACACTCATTTCACATGCTAGCAAGGTTATGCTCAAAATCCCACATCGAAGCTACCAACATGAATTTGACCCAACTCCGGGAGGCAGTGGAAGACAGGAGAGTCTGGTGTGCTCTGGTCCATGGGGTCATGAAGAGTCGGACATGACTAAACGACTAAATAACAAAAGTATCTCTGTCTTCACAAATATGTACTTTAAAGTACAGCTAAAAAATTCTAGACCCAGGGTATGTGTTAACATTGATTTGCAGAATTCAAGACACAGTCATCTTGCGGTCCAACTACTGCCAGGGTGTCCATTTCTTTGTATGAAATGCTAAGCTAGGTTCTCATTTACTAGACTTACTTTTCTATTTCTCCAAGAAAGAAGCTTTGAAAAAGCTTTCCTTAACTCTAGTATCTTTTTTATTCAAACAATTGTAGAAGGAGAGGATGACTTCTAAGAGAACAGTTCTCAAAGCGGCTAGTAAATGTCTCCAGGGAAGCATTTAAGCTTCCCCATTGTTCTTCATCCAAATCCTCTACATCAACAAGGGTACATCTCATCAACTGACCTGACTATTTCTTGTTGTCTCAGCACAGAAGAGTTTATTGACTTTTCAAATTGTATGCGAACTGTCACTGGTGAACATTCACTTTCTTATCCCATGATTATCAAGCTAGCTCTTTGGTTTTAAGTCAAGCTTTCTTTAAAAAGTTGTTCTGCTATTAGATTAGATTCCATTGGGCATCCTTCAGTCTCAAGAGACTATGGTAACGTGCTCTAAATAGAGGACTTGGAACAGCATCTAGTGTGGCTGAGAAGGCCAATTCGAGAGTGACAATCCCTTCCACACTGAAGACAAATACAATCTGTCCCCTGTCCAGCTCCCTGATTTTGCTGGTTTCGGGACTGCCTCTTTGCCTCGGCTGGCTGAACAAGTGTCTCTTCAAACTGGGAGAGGCCATGCTGCACTGCCTGCCTCCAGGTTGAATGCTCAGATGTCAAGGTTTTGCATCTGTTGAGGTCCATTCCTAATGTTCTGCTATATTGTACTGTTAAAACATAGCCATATTTACAGATATAAATTTAAAAAAAAACAGGAAGTCAATAACATTTCTGTGCAGAATGGCAGATTGATAGGAATGTGCAAAATTAAGTTATTATTTTTTTAAAATGCTAGTTTAATGAAAACTTTTAAAAATTATTTTTTAAAAGAGAGTTTTTAAAGATCTCATAAAAGCAGAATAGGTGAGATACAACATCCAGAATTAAAGGATGTAAAGAAGAGTTGTCTAAATAACTATTGTTAGAATTGCAGGATAGGAACTAACAGAGTACAAACTGGGCACAGTATCTGATACAAGGCCCAGCAATAAGCTACTGGTGATATTTATGGAAACAGGTAATGTAGTAATCAGACAATGCAGGTTTACTCTAAATTGAAGTGGACTGAGAAGTTATTGTTAGCACCTCTAGTTCAGTGCAACATCTTTGCCAATCTTCTGGTGACATTCCTTCATTGTGGCTCAGACCCCAAGACAGTAATAGGTAAGTAGGACAGTTCTGCTTATACAAAGGAATTCCTCTTATCTTTTCCAGTTATCCCCATGCCCTGGGGATCCATCAACTTTTAGGAGTAATTTTCCAGTGAATTATAGTCGGGAATGAATCCAAGAAAGCATCATTGTATGGCCGGGGTTCTGCTCACTTACCTCAGCATCCAACTTGAGATCTGAAAAGAAATTTGCAGGGTCATTTTCCTCTTTACATGTGCAAGCTGATGCTGTAATGGGAGTTTGCATGTTCTAGTCATAGCCTTGTGAGCCTGGCGATACATACTTTTCTTGAGCTGAAAGGTCTCGGTTAATCTCAGTTACAGTTTTTTTGAGTAAGATGAGAACTTCAGGCAAGACTCTAGGTACTTTTGCAAATAACTTGTTAATCTAGTATGATCTACTTTTCTGAGTGAGATATTGGGCTGATAGCAGTATGAAAGAAAACAAAAAACAAAAAAGAGAAAATGCTTTTGTTTTTCTTTTCTTAAACAAGACTTGTTCCCTTTCTTCTACATGCTGCCCTCTTCCCAACTGTCTTGTTGACATAGTACTCCACATCATAGTTTCCTTGACTGCCTTCCCTTCCTTTTACACTGCATCATTTCCTGGTTATTTTGACATATTTCAGTGCTTATAGAGCCTCATGGTGCAGTGATTAAACTGCAGTACTGCAGCCAAGACTCTGCTCATAACGTGAGTTTGATCTCAGGCTCAGGTAGCCAGCTCAAGGTTGAGTCTGCCTTCCATCCTTCCGAGGTCAGTAAATTGTGGGTGGGGAAAAGCTTTCTGTGGGTGGGGCAATGTGTAGCTCTAATAATTAAATATAAACCTGTACAGACTTCAATTTTGCTGTATTCCTGAACAACAGCAGTTTCTTCATCTAGGTGCATTCTGCCCAGTAGGGGTCCTTGGAGAAACTTTGCTTTTCAGCACTACAGTGGAATTTGTTTGAACGATCAGTACAAGAAATCCAGCATACTCAAACACACATTTGCCTCTGTCTCTGCCACCTCTTCGTGCAATTAATTTAGCAGCAAATATTCCCCTTTAGTCTAAATTCTTTACCAAACAAGGAGATGCAGTCTGTAGCAATTCATTATCACCTAGACTGTTTTTCTCCTCCTTAAGACATGGATGCTATTCTAGGTTGCTACACAGTTATTTTTTTTATCACTACATTTGCCTGTAACAAATGTCTGTAGGAAATTAAATGCCTGTAGCAAATGTAGTGGGCCAGTTTGCAGTTTTGGACCTTCACAGACACAGGAGTGAAAAGGGGTGAAAAAGAAACTGGAAATGACTAGATTCATTTTTGGTCTTGAAAAATGACTTTTGGGGGTTCTAAATAATACAGGAAGACTTGCAGCCAATTTAAAAAGGAGATTATTGATATCCAGGGGAAGTGGTTGGAGGTCTTGGGGGAGGCACAAGTGGGCACTCTTAGGGCAGGCTTCAGTAGCTCCCCAGGAGATAATAATCAAGTAATCACCAGTAGCCTTCTGTTACTGCAATTGGGGTATTTACTGGCCTGGTTCTGGCAATATATCTCTCCAGTCTGTTTCTTACACGAGGGAAAGAAGCAATCAGTGCCTTGTGAGGAATAATTCTGCCTACGTAACTGCCCACCTCCATGGATACTCGACAGCCATGCATGGACATATCATTTTAATAGGCTGTGTACATGTAAAATCCAACCTGTGTAGCTCTAAATTGGATGCCAAATAACTGATACACACAATATGGCCTCCAGGCACACATGCATTGGATATTATGCAAGTCGGACATCGTATGTAAACATGACACCCCCTTATGTATCTCTGGTAGGATATATGTCCCCTGGGCAAGGAAAGATGGTGCAATCCAGCCCATAAAGAGAAGATGAAGGAATAACAAGTATACAAACATGGCCACTATTTTTAAAATTTGAGATAGATTAAATCCAAATAAATACTGCACATTGTTCCAAAGCAGTTTGATGAAAGGCTGCAAGATAAATTTGCTTAACGTCTCTTTGCTCTGTTCAGCCTTAGTAAATATTTCAGGCTTTAGAAAATCTTTAATAGAGATTTGATAGATTACTATAGAGGGCTCTTTGCCCATTATCACTTATATTCTCTGGGCTGAGATACGTAAGTGGTGAGTGTGACCTGGTTTATACACTCATCAGATTCAAGTCAGACACATGTTATCACTTTCTATAGAGACTTCCCAGACCACACCCAAATAAGTTCTCTTGTGGATAGGACGTTGAGAGTGGGGAAGTTTGATTGTTGCCCTGTTTCTTTCAAGCTCAACACCCGACGAGTAATGAGAAATCTTACTCTATTTCATGCTAAATATGGACATCAATCATGCGGGCACCTCTTAGGAGCACCCCCTAGGGCTGGGATCTACAGGGGATGGCTGCATCTAGAGGCCTGCTGACTCAGAGTAGCTGTGGTAAGAAAGGGAACTTTTTGCCACTTTCTTTGTCAGTTTTAGAAAGAGAAAACTTTATCTTTCCACTGACCCAAATGGGAAGAAATGAACTAGGTCTGGAGTAGGTCTAGGCCTATTTGGCTATGTATTGAGAGAACAAAGGCTACATAGGATCTTGTAAATTCGAGGCTTCCCCTCCCATGCCCGGGAACATCCTGTTTTGGGCCCCTCCACTCCGTAACATTAAAGATGTGTAAGCAATTGTGGCCCAGCCCTCTATCACGGCACTGCAGGGAGGCCTGTGTTTGTTAACCTTCGTTTCCACCCACAACGAGGGAGATCAGCAGCATGCCACAAAATCCTCAGTTGTCCTTCCAGGAAACATAAGATTGCTTCCTTACCTAGTAAGGTCTTTGTTAAAAGTTGTAAAAGGACATCCAGGAAAACAGAGAACTACAGTACTGGTCAAGTACCATTCAGGTATATTTCAAGTGAATTCTCTGTCAAATAATCACTATATAGAAGCATATTAAATGGTTGATTATACTACTGTAAGAATGACTGATAATTATTCTTTGAGTAAAATAAGAAGATAGGAAGGACCATGGCACTTTTCCCCACATGGCACTGAGTACTACTTGTTTTTTAAAGGATCCTTCCCTATCATTATTCAAACTTTAAAATGAAATTTGAAAAACAAACAAATGTGTTCAGTAATCCTGGTGTCACCGAATGGGCTTTATTTCTTATGTGTTTCAGAACCCAGTCAAAAGGACCAGCCATGTTGCAGTTGGGAAGAAAGAAGTCCTGCACTGCAAACAATAAAAGTGAGGAAAGATACCTTTAAAGATGAACCAGAAATGGCTTTACTTGATGTCACCAGCAAGATTTCATAGTTTATAGCAGCACATGCAATATGTAAGCTTATGAGCAACTGGAAAAGAAAATGCTGAAGCCCAAAGAACAATGGCCACATGTGATTTATATTATTACTCTTTTCTGGATATGGAACAACTTCTACATGATCATGAAGTTTCTGAATTGATAATAAATTCTGGGGCTTGAACCATATCAATTTTCAGTAATTTATATTAGCACAAAGGTAATACACTTGAATCCCGTAAACTACTGGGTTTTGTTGTTGTTGTTGTTGATTAATCTTCTCATTCCTCTCCAGATTGAGGTTGAATGAACAAAATTGTTAATAAATAGTCCCTTGTTTTCTTACGTTTTTATGCATTCTATATTGATCTCTGTTTACTTTAATTGCAGAAAAAAAATATCCACCCAGGTTTCAGACTTTTGAGTTGAATTTGGTCAGCTTTCTCTGTGCAATTTGATCTTCAAAGCACGCCAAGAGCAAAATCCAAAATACTAACATGAATTCCATTACAGTGCTTAATTTTTATTGCGGAAAACTGTAATACTATTCTTGAAGCAGCAACTGCATAATAAACTGATATCTCCCCGCAGAAAGGCAAATCAGTAACTTGTAAAATAACTTGGGACATAGAAAAACTCCAGAAGCAGTACTGAGATCTATGGCTGAAACAGTGTACCTGCTTAATGACACTAAGAAGATTTATAGCAGAGGTAATTCAGTAAGTGCTCTTTTATTTATTTTCTATGCTGCAGTGACATTCCAAGGAAAAGGCACCCATTTTTTCAAGAAATCCACTGGGTACCAAACAAAACACAGTGGGTCAGGATATATGCTAAGAAATGGATTGTGGAAAGCATTTTGATAAGCAAATCAGGGTCAGTTATGCTGTCAGAATGTTACAATGTAAAAGGAACTCATTGCTTCTCAATAGCCAGGTTCTCTTTAGCGTTACTCCAAGCAAGCAAGCAATTAGTTATCTTACATGGTATTAATGTCTTGTGTTAACTTAATCAACAGATGAGAAAAATACAGTGGAACCTCAACTTACGAACGTCCCTATCTATGAACATTTCGACTTACGAACCACTCTGTTCGCAAAAATTTGCTTCGACTTGCGAATGGAGCTTTGACTTACAAATGGAAAAAAGTGTTCTGTTTAAAAGGTGTTTCCCCCCCCCCCTTCCCTGCCCTTTTTTTGAGCTAAGTTCATATTGGGTCAAAAGAAGAAAAAAGAAAAAAATTCTCCCTCTAGTGGCAGAGTACGGATTAGCTGGCTTTGCCTCTACTTGTGAACAGCGCCTCTAGATAAGAACAAAAACAGCCAGAACAGATTAAATGGTTTTCAGTGCATTCCTATGGGGAATTTTGCTTCAACTTATGAACATTTCGATGTACAAACACCATTCCAATATGGATTAAGTTCGTAAGTCAAAATTCCTCTGTACAAGGAACTGCTTTCCAGTTCCCTTGATGTTGCACTTTGGAAATATTTGTAAAAACACACAAAAAAGGAAATAAATAATTCTTCCCTTCTCACTTAGGATTCATAAGAGAATGGCAAAAAATCTGAAAAAATTCCTATCAAAATGCCACTTAAATGCCTTGTAAAACAACTTCTGAAAATAACCAGGTGTTATTTGTCACACTAAGTAGCTTAGGTACTGCTCTGCAAGCTAAAAGTAACTTTATAGTTACTACTTGTACTATTTGTTACCTGAAAAGTATCTAGTTTTAGGTAACCATTCTACTTTTAACTAGTTACATCTTAGCTTTGCCCACAACAATCTTAAAATTGTTATTACAATTTTGATATAGTAAATATACCAGGTGATAGCATCAATTTTTTTCAAGTACATGCACTTTTGGGACACTTAAATGAACCTTTTGTAGATTCTGCAGTGATGGTTTTTCTAATGCTTAGTCCAGATTAAAAACTAGAATGGTACAGTGGTGAGTCTGGTTATCTTCCAGAGAAAATGACACATTGCTTGAATGTTATCCTGTTTCTCCAAAAATAAGACCTAACCTGAAAATAAGCCCTAGTATTGTTTTTCAGGAGGCTCATAATATAAGCCCTACTCCAAAAATAAGCCCCAGTTAAGAGAAACCCCACCCACCACCATTGCGCAGCATTGTGCAGCAACTGGAAGATGATGACGTGACTGTATTTGAATAAATGTAGATTGTGGTACATGAAAAAAGTAAAACATCCCCTGAAAATAAGCCCTAGTGCGTTTTTGAAGCAAAAATTAATATAAAACCCTGTCTTATTTTCAGCAATAGTACTACAAAAGGCACAGTAGGTGTTAGGTAACTCAAACAGGCATTCTCCTTTTTTCTTGTCTTTGCTATTCCATCTTGGTAATCCTCTCTTTAAATTAATTGTTTTAAATTGAAATTGTAATTTTATGATTTTATATATTTTTATACTGTTCTGTTTTATTTTGTAAGCCACCCCGAGTAGACATGGTCTAGAGGGGCGGGGTAAAAATGAAATAAATAAATAGATATGTAACGAGACAACGCATATGTAGGGAGCAGGCTGCTCCTGTAAAGCAAAAACATTTAGCCAAAATTGTTTCCCTAGCTGAAGGGGGTGAATTAAAAGGTTTGTTGAAATTATGTGCAACAATGCTTAATAAGAAAGGTCTCTTCCTGGCTCAGACTACGGCCATCTTTAGAAAGAAGACACAGGGGCCAGATGTTAGAGAAGTTCCAGGAAGAGTGAAATTCTTAACTAATGAAAGTGTCTGGGTGTCACAGCGAGAGGTTTTCTCACAGTTAGGATTATGCAAATTAGCTTGCTTTGGTTAGTAATTAGTCCTCCAAATTTAAACAAGGGATTCTTTGCTTAACCCCCACCCCACTGCTTCAGATCATTTTTCTGCAAAGTTCAAAGTTAATGTGTTTTCAGCTCTTATTACAAGTTCTCTCTAAGTCTGGGTCTAGCTTGAGTGGTCTCACAACACAGGAGGAAGAACTGAAAATGTAGCTAAGCTGCCATGTGATAAAATATGCTTGTCTTCAACTTTAAGTAGCCATATGGAAACAAAGCCATTCAGTACGATCCAGATTCCAGTCTTACCACTAAGATGTTTCCCATTCTTGCTAATGTTGGGAACAGCTCCACACAGAGGAAAATGAGGTAAGATAAGTGTGTAGAGCTGCCTCTGCTCTTAAATGAACAGAAAAGTGCTTTATCAAAGCAGGGGGGAGGGGGACAGGCCCACACAGGCCTTGCAGCTCCTGCTTGCAAAATTGCTCCCGTTGCGTAGCAACAGCTTTCCATATTGCTCTTTGGCAAAGAACCATCTTTCTTTAGGGACATAACTTGGGTGCAAATATATATTTTTCAATATAAATGGGAGAGTATCAATCCTGGAGAAACATGCATTCACAGTTGCTCTCTTTGCCAACAACAAAGAACTTGTTGCTACAGCTACCGGAAACATCCTTTCCAGTGAGCCACTTATTGAAAAAAGAAAACAAAACACATCTTGGGTAAGGGAACTGCTCCTTGTGGTCTCTGTTACCTGCCTGGTCATCCAGAGTTTTTTTTTTTTTTAAATCTATCGTTTGACAGTGCGGTTGCTGCCTTTGACTGGATCAAACAGGCCAGCATTTGATCTGGGAAACCATTTGTAGGGGAGAAAGGGATAGTTCTTCTCTCCGCCACCCGCCCCTACACACTGATCACATGGCTAAGTCCCAAGACCTTTCAGTGACACAATAGGCTGAATGGCAAGGAAAATTCCAGGGGAGAACATTTAGGTCTCCAAGGAGCTATTATGGTCTGTGTAAGCCAAAAAAAAAAAAAAGGCCATGAAATGGAGAGAGAGAACGTGTATATAGTATATTCCTGTTCTATGTGTTTTTGAACATAAAAATGCAGGCATGGCGTGCCCTGTCAGAATGTTATAGTTTTGCAAGGACAAGGGCTTAAAATATTTTCCTCAGTCATTTTCCCCAGAGAGATTTTACCCAAGGAACTAGAGTGTTGGCAAACATTATTAATTCTTTGTTTTATCTCCTCCTTCACTAATAGTATAAATGAAGTATTGGTATTTGAAGACAGAGAGTGTGAGTGAGATCCTTGAAATCACCCAGAGTTGTTGGCAGTTTTTGGGCAGAAAGAGGATGAGGTCTGAGCTCCACCCCACCCCTCACGTCCTCCCTCTCTTCTTTTTTAGTTCTATGCCTGAGATGCTAGACAACAATCTGGCCTTGTCTGCAAACTTCAAGGCTGCAATTCACAGCAGTATATTTCTGTTACTGTCTTTTATGTTCATAGTATTCCATTGGTGATTTCCACATGTTGTGCTTCATAATTCTTGAAACAATCCTGTTCACAGTACGCACATCTTTCTTCATGATTTCTGTGCAGCCCTACATAGAAATAGCAGCCACACTAGGTAGTATCAGGGAATAAGCATGCCTATCCTCAGAAACCTTTTCCCATGTACCACACAACAGCTTTTCTATTCTGTGCACAAGCCAGCGGATGAGGCCAGCATTTTCCCAGTCTGGTTCTGAGACTACAATTCTGTTATTCTTCATGTTACAACTTTATTTTGCCATAATTTTACTCCTTATGTTGAAAGGGAGCATTTTGTTTCTTTTCCCTTCCAATAATTCTTTATGAGTGGATAGATATCTTTAGTATCTATCTATCTTTGGTGCATTTCTAGGACAGAATGCACACACATACACCAGTTTCAGGCACAACCCAGCCTTGAGCTGCCCCAGCCTTCAAACAGAAGTCAAGGCCAAAACTCTGCTTTTTGACAATAAATATATATTACTTTGACTCATCATCTTACATGTAAGCATTGGTGGAATTTCTACAGTTCTGCAAGATAAGACCAGGTTTACAGAGGTAACTGCAGCTGTCGGACAGTACTTAAGCCTGTTAAAAGCTCAAATGGACGAAGCACGCATATCAAATTATTTTCAAATGATATCTTGCTTTTCTGATTTTGAAGTCTAGATATCATTAACCTTGCTAGAAAAATTGATGGAAATGATTAGCATCTTCTGATAAGACAGCACTGTTTTTTCAACTATTTTTTTACCATGTTCATATATTGGAAGAACATAGTATCCCCCTCTGTATATATATAATATTTACAGAGGGGGATACTATGTTCTTCCAATATTTACAATATTTTTAGCCGCACCATTACCAAAATTAATCAGGTCACTTTGCAGCTGGATCCTTTTCAGCATATATATAAGTGACCTGATGGCAGATACCAGCAATGTGAAATCCAGTACTAATAAATAAAAAGAATTGAGGGAAAATAAACAGCAGTGAAGTGAAATAGAGGGCAAGAGGGAGGGCCAC